CCAGACCGGTCCTCATCGCGGCCTCTTGTGCGGTAAGATTGGCCATGCCCCCACTTGTTTCTTTCGTCGTCTGGACGACCTGTTCCGTCTCCGCTTCGGCCCGTCCCCTGACCTCCCCGACTGGCACAGTCTGCTCCGTCGTGGTGTTTAGATCTTTGATATGGACATGGATGCGATTAGCTCTGCTTTGTATCTACTGTATCTTGATGACTCTACTGTGACTTATTCTTATTACCCTGTGTTGCCTAGCGTAGGTGTGCCCAGTGTACCTAGTTCAGACTCCCCTGCTGCGTCAGGCGTAGGATTCCCTGCCTTGTGTAGCCTTGGGTCCTCACTCGCTCCTCCGACCTCTATCGCCGCTGCCGCGCTCTCCTTCACCCTGGACTCTGGAGCTTCCCGGTGTTTCTTTCGCGACTCCACTACACGTACGCCACTTCCCTCTCCTGCTGCAATTGCTCTTGCAGACCCTTCCTCTGGTCCTGTTGTTACCTGTAGCTCCACTACTCTCCCCTGTTCGGCGGTTCCCTCAGGCTCCCTGAGAGGCCTGCACATCCCCTCGTTCTCTAGGAACCTAGTTGGTGTCGGCTGCCTCCAGGACCTTGGCGTCACCACTACGTTCCCTGGGCACGAGCGGTACGCTGTCTGTACCGACGCCGCCGCTGGTGCCCCCCTCACCACGTTCCCCCGGGACCCAGTGTCTGGCCTGTTCACGCTGGACACCGCTTCCCCCCCGGTTGGGATGCCTCCCCAAGTACCAGCGTCTTCCCAGGTTGCTGCGGCGTGCTCGTGTCGGTCGCTTACTCACCCGTTACTTCTGTGGCACCACCGTCTAGATCACCCCGCCCTCACATATCTCCGTCACATGTCCCAGCACCGTCTTGTCCTATGCCTCCCTGAGTCGTTCCCTATGCCCCCCCCCTCACCCGTGCCTCTGTGCACGCCCTACTTCGAGGGCAGGCTTCGTCATGCCCCTCACTCCTCCTCGTTTCCCCCTACCTCCGCACCGCTACACACCCTGCACATGGACGTCTGGGGCCACGCCCCCGTCCATTGGCAGCATCGCGAGCGCTACTTCCTAGTGCTTGTCGACGACTACACCCGCTACACCACCGTTTTTTCCCTGGAGCGGAAGGCCGATATGCCTGACATCCTTCTCCCATGGCTTGTCTCAGCGCGTGTTCACCGAGGTCTCCATGTCTTGCGTCTTCACTTCGATCGTGGTGGCGAGTTCGTCTCTGGCTGCCTTGGTCGCTTCTATCGTGCGGAGGGCATCACTCAGATGTTCACCCTGCCTGACTCCCCGCAGCAGAATGGGGTCGCTGAGCGATGCATCAGCTTGGTCATGGAGGTGGCTCGTACCTCCATGATCCATGCCGGTGCACCCCATTTTCTGTGGCCGTTCGCTCTTCCCTACGCCGCTCACCAGCTTAACCTCTGGCCACACCCTCAGCGGTTGCAGGCTTCGCCGACCTTCCTCTAGACCGGGTCTCCTAGTGACATATCTGCGTTCCACGTTTGGGGCTGCCTTGCTCATGTTCGTGCCTCTGGCATGGACAAGCTCACTGCCCGCACTGTCCCCTGTGTGTTTCTAGGTTTCCCCCTCGACTCATCTGACCGGCAGTTCTACCACCCACCTTCTCACCATTTCTTTCACTCTCGTGACGTCACTTTTAATTAGTCCGTCTCCTTCTATCATCGCTTTCCCCACTGTGGTTCCTCGATCACTCCACCCCAGTTCCTCGTGCCCCCCCCTCCCCCGTTTGATCCTGTCCCCCCCCCCCCCCCCACGCTGCCCCGTCTGGTGTGTCTCATGTCACCCCCCTTCCGTCGGTTGTCCCTGTTGAAGAGTCCGCTGATTCTCGCGGCTCGGCGGAGTCTCTTCCCCCGCCTGTCCCTGCCCCGGTCTCACCTCCCCTGTTGCCGCCGTAGCTGTCCCCGCTGCAGCCGCCTCCGCCGCTGCCTCCGCAGCAGCAGCCGCTGTCGTCACCGCCGCTGGGGTTCGTGCGTTCTGGGTTGCTGGGGAGCGGGCTGGAGCTGGTTCTGGAGCGGGCTCTAGGGGTGGTGGTGTGGGGCTTCTCGGAGGGAGCCGTGCAGTCACTGGAGGTTATGGTATTGGGGTCGGGTAGCAGTAGCAGCCGTCGCCTCCGGTGTCCGCACTTCGCCTCCTCGGTCTCCCTTCCCCTGACCGCCCGTCGCTTCCTCCCTAGCTGCCGCCGCCTCCTCCTCTGTCAGTCCACGACCCCGTATTTCCTCCCCCGGACTGCTCTCTGACTCATTTCCCTCCCCGTTTTCCTCCTGTGTCTCCTCCCCTCTCTCCTGACTTGACTCCTCCGTCTCACGTCTGGTCTCGTCGTCCGTCTCGTGCTCGTCCTACCTCCCCTGTTCTGCGTTCTCACCATATGTTGCTTCGCTCTTACGCATCTTGTGCTGCTCCTCTCCTCCCGTCCCCTCCTCCGTCGTCATTTGCTGTGGCCCCGCCTCTGTTCTCTGACTTTTTCCGTGCTGCGCGTCCCCTTGTTCCTCGTGTCCTTGCCTCTCTCGTTACCGACCCGTCTGTTCCTGTCTCGAGTCTGTCGGCTCTTGTCGCTGCTGTCACTGACTTCGCCGCTAACCGCCGCCTGGACAGGCAGCGACAAGGCAGCGAGTCTCTAACCCTTTGCCGCTACCTGCCGCGGCTCCACCGCTCTAGTCTCTGACCCTGCCTGCCCTCCGTCCGTCGGGGGTGTGGCTGCTCTTGGCAGTGACGTCCTAAAGGACAGGCAATTGGAGCTCGCTTTCCTGTCTGAGGCCGCTCCCCATCTCTGTTCCATGCTACTAGTCCCTGAGGGTGACCCAGATGCCCTCGACATCCCGACGCCTCGCACCTACGCTGAGGCCACCTCGGGACCCTGGGCGTCTCAGTGGATAGCTCCCATGGAGCAGGCGATGGCATCTTGGAGATCCACCGGTACCTTTGTCGACGCAGTTCCCCCACGTGGGGTGAACGTAATCGATGGCCGGTGGCTCTTCAATGTGAAGCGCCCTCTTGGAGAGCCGCCTGTCTTCAAGGCACGCTACATTGGTCGGGGCTTCAGCCAGTGTGAGGGGTGGATTTCTTTCAGACCTTCGCCCCGACCCCGAAGATGACTAATCTTCGCGCACTACTACGCATAGCAGCACAGCGTGACTACGAGCTGCACTCCCTCGAATTCTCTACAGCTTTCCTTCAGGGCAGTCTACACGAGCGGGTCTACCTGCGCCGTCCCCAGGGCTTCTCCGGTACCTTCCCACTTGGCATCGAGTGGCTCCTCTGGCGCCCCGTCTACGGCTTGCGACAGGCGCCCTGAGAGTGGCACGACACGCTGCGTGCTATACTTGCTGACTTGCAGTTCTTCCCTTCGCCTGCAGACCCCTCGCTCTTTGTCCATTCTGGCCAGACTCCGTTCTACATCCTTGTCTACGTAGACGATCTGGTCTTTGCTACTACAGACAGAGACGTGCTGGCCGCCGTGAAGGCCGAGCTGCTGAGGAGACACACTTGCACGGACCTAGAAGAGCTGCGTTGCTACCTTGGCTTGCAGATCTCCAGGGACAAAGCAGCGCGCACCATCACTCTCTCACAGTCACACTTGGTGCGCCAGGTCCTTTAGAGGTTCGGCCTTCAGTTCTCTTCCGCACAGCCCACCCCTCTGTCAGTAGACCACAGACTCTCTGCCCCAGTCCGAGAGGAGGCTGTAGAGCCTAGTGGTCCCTACGCAGAGCTGGTGGGTTGCCTCATGTACCTGATGACTTGCACTCGTCCAGATCTCGCATACCCTCTCAGCATCCTGGCTCGCTTTGTGGCCCCAGGTAGACACCGACCACAGCACTGGTCGGCAGCTAAGAGGGTTTTGCGTTATCTAGCAAGTACATCGGGCATGGGGCTAGTGCTAGGAGGACGCAGACCAGTGGTCTTCACAGACGCTTCTTGGGCAGACGACGACGAGACTCTCAGGTCCTCACAGGGCTACTACTTTAGCCTTGGTGCAGGTGCCATCTCGTTGAGGTCCACCCGCTCCTCGTCTATTGCCCAGTCTAGCTGTGAGGCTGAGATCTACACAAGTGCCATGGCAGCACAGGAGCTCCTCTGGCTGACCTTCTTGCTCACCGACTTGGGTGAGCGGCCTAGCTCTGCCCCGGTTCTGTACGCTGACAACAGGGCCATGATCCTCCTGTGTCAGGAGCCACGACTCGAGGGAAGAGCGAAGCACATCCAGCCGCGGTACTTCCTCCTGCGCGAGCTGCAGCAGCGTCGCCAGGCTCGTGTAGTTCACTTGGCCTCAGGTGCCAACACAACTGATATCTTTACTAATGCGCTTGCACCTAAAGATCACCAGTGGCACTGTGTACAGTTAGGTCTCGTTTCTGTAGCCTCTCACTTGCTAGGACCTTGAGTGTGTACAGACCTTTATATATATTACCCAGACTGGCCTTGTGGCCTCTTCTCAGTGGCTGGACTAGTAGTGCCACCCTGGTCTTGCTCTTGCCTTGTCTGTACTTGTTTGACTGGTCTTTAGACCCCTGCCTCAGAGGCTGGACTAGTAGTGCCACCCTGAGTTGTTTCTCTCTCATCTTGCACTGTCCCTATCCAATCTAGGGGGTGTGTCAAACATATATTGTATGTTACTGTAGACTATATAGGGTTGTGCCTTAGAGAGTACAACCCATTAGGATATATACCCTTGTATGTCTTGTTCTAATGAACACTTTTCACTTTAACAATATAGGGTTAGTGTTGTACCTTCTAAGAACACAACCCTGTCTAGCCTAAAACGTCTAGATACAATGCATATGTATAAGTGGACACTAGTATCTCCCCTCCCCTCTTCCTATTCACACTTTTTCCTGGTACATTGACATAAAAGGCCTGAAGTGTGCCACAACCCTCATCTGGAGAGGACTTCATTTGTGCTTTCTTGCATGGACTACTCATTTGTTTCATTGATTGTGCTGCTGCACCACACCAAGCTACAACGAGAGTCCATCAATCACATACGGTAGGTACAAAAACATAAAATATACTAGTATATAATATTATAGTGACCACCCTATACCTTTAGTCCATGTGCTCTCTAACATGTCAGAAAGGTACGGTAGCAACAGCCTATACACAATACATCCATAGCACAACAGCAGTGCATGCAAAACACCCATACCATACCATATCATACCAGCAAGCTCAACCAATCAGCTCAGCGGAACGTAAGCCCCTTTGCAGGTGGCTACAAGCAGCAGCAGCAGCAAAAGCGGGGAGCCTCGCTGCAGGTAGTGACAAGCAGCAGCAGCAGCAGCAAAAGCAGGTAGCCCCTTATCAGGTGGCTACAAGCAGCAGCAGCACAAGCAGGTAGCCCCTTGCGGGTGGCTACAAGCAGCAGCAACAGAGGGAGCTGCTGAAGCAAGGGGGGCAGGGGCGTGCAGGGGGGTTCGGAGGGGATGCAGCAGCACCAACATTGCCAGCAGCAGCAGCGACAGCAGCAGCCAGCAAGACCAACTCCGCTCCAGAAACCCTTGATGAACCTCCCAGCCTCAAACCAACAGTCCCCCAGCCAGGCAGGCAACAGCTGGCATCCCACAGGTAAAGGGCGGACGCAGTAGCCCACAGATCTGCAGGCCTCTCATTGCCGCCCACAGATCTGCGGGCCTCTCATTGCCGTCCACAGATCTGCAGGCCTCCCATTGCCGCCCACAGATCTGCAGGCCTCCCATTGCCGCCCACAGATCTGCAGGCCTCTCATTGCCGCCCACAGATCTGCAGGCCTCTCATTGCCGCCCACAGATCTGCAGGCCTCTCATTGCCGCCCACAGATCTGCAGGCCTCTCATTGCCGCCCACAAAACTGCAGGCCTCTCATTGCCGCCCACAGATCTGCAGGCCTCTCATTGCCGCCCACAGATCTGCAGGCCTCATTGACGCCCTCATCTTGCCTCTGCAAGCAGTAGCCCACATATCTCAACAAGCTGCTCTGACTGACCCCTGCCATGTCGACATTCAAGGGCTGTACTCTTGAAGGCTCTGCTACACCTCCGAAGCCAATCCTGGAAACTCCGGAAGCCAATCGAGTCGGTGACTGAAAGCGCTGCTCCGCCCTGGGCTGTGACTCAAGACAGAGAGCTGGCTGTCCCCATGCCTTGCATCCGTTCCTCCAGCGTCACACGTCGCGCCCCTGTAACCACTCCATGACCCCACATGCCCTGCTGCTGCTACGCTGTCAGCCGGGCACTCGTCCTCCTGACAACCTCACCTCCTCACCCCCCACCCCCCCTTCCTCCCTTTCCCATGTGACCCCTTATTCAGCTGCAGCAGAAACCGACCCCCTGGGATCTACAGAGTTACTGCTGCGGATAGCGCCGTCAATGCTGCCATTACTGCTGCCGTTGTTACCGTTACCATCACTGCTGCTGCTGCTCGACAAGTGAGCCACGGCTACCATCACCCCGACGCCCACTGTGACGGCGGCTCCCACCCCCATCGCCCGCCATATCACGTTCCAGCGCCGCCTGTGCGCCCTCATGTGCTCTGGCGGGGTGGAGGGGGTGGAGAGGGGAAGCAGGGAGACGAAACATGGAGGGGGAAAGGAAAGCTCAGAAGCGGAATGAGGACGGTGCGCAGGCACAGGCGCGGGAAAGGATCCCAACGATCCTGGTAAGAGGGATCCCAACGATCCTGGTAAGAGGGATCCGAACGATCACGATAAAAGGGATCCGAACGATCCTGATGAATGTAGGTTCAAGAAACAGCCCCAGCGTCCTCTTGGAGGCAATGACGCAGGATAAGACGGCTCGAGGGAATAAAAGAGTATGAGTTAAACTAGCGAACGAACTCCATCAACTTATCCTCCTTACCAATGGCTTCGTTATTCTTCTGGGCCATCTCCTGGTTCATCCGCTCCCAGTACTGCAGCTTGTCTCTCAGCCGCGACATCTCCGCCTCTTTCCGCGCCGCCAGATCCGCTTGCTCCTTATCCTCTACCAAGTGCTCCTCGCCCCTCTTCACCGCCGCAGCAACCGCCCGCGCCAACGCGGATTCCACGCTGACGCTCCCGGTAGGTTCCACACTACCTCCCTCACTCCCAGTCGATTCCTCGCTGACTCCCCCAATCCCAGTTGCGTCTGCTTCCATCGGGCCATCTTGGGATCGGCCAACGGACCTCGACCTGGCAGCATCCTCGTTATCAGCTTTCTCGCGACCAGGGGTCCTGTCCTCGTTTCCCCCTTGACCATCGCCAGATCCCGCTGAACTGCGAACGATCAGAGAGCCTCCGACCAACGTTTTCTGCGCCTCTGCGACGGCTGCTTCTATTCCGTCCAGCCGCTTCGTGCAGGCGGCCAGCGCTTCTTCCGCTGCCGCTCGCCTTCTGGACTCTTCCTGGATCCGCGCGACGAGATCGCGATAGGAGGTTCGCCGGCCGCGAGTAGGTGCGGCTCGGCTGCTGCCGTTCATGGCGGGAGTGGTGTTGTGGAAGTCCTCTTCGCTGCTCAGATACTCTGCGAAAAAGAGGGAGAGAAGGCGTTTGGCACAGTTTGAGAATTCTCGAAATACACCTTCGTGCTGGGAGCGGTAATGTGGAAGTTCTCGTCGCTGCTCAGATACTCTGTAAAGAGAGGGCGTGTGGCACAGGAATGATGCAATAAGAACTGACAATGTAAGGAGGTAGGCGTGTCGCCGAATCAAGTAACGAGACTGCATCGCATGTTAAAGAAAATGTGGGCCGAGCAGCAGCTTATTTCTCTCGTCATACTAAAAAACCTGGGCCTGTTTCAGCGAACGCAGGAGTACTTGCGAAAAAAAAAATACGATTCACGGATAAAGGTAGCAGGACACTGACCTTCTAGCCCATCCTCCGCTGCGTCGAAGAAATCCTCGTTAGAAGACCCGGTCCTGGTCGGTTCAGGCGGGTGGAACTCCTCGTCATCGCTGTCTCCGTGTGGTTGACCGCCAGTACCTGGGTGAGTGACCGTTCCGTTTCCTTGACGGCCGTTTCCGTGACCGTTAATGTGGCCGTTCATGTGAGCTGCCGAGCCTTTGACCAGGTACTTGGCCGCCTTCTCTGCAGGAGACCTCCAATCGGTCTCGCCTGGACTCATCGGACACACAGCTCCCGCCATGTCCCTTTTCACGCAATCTCAGCGCACGGCTCCGCGAAGGCCGCGACGAGAGGAGAGTCTCGTCCCTTGAATCACTAATTAAGCCGTCTAAGTAAGGCGTCTAATGGCTCACTCGAACAAGCCGACCAGAGGAAGAAATGAATCACGAGGCAAGCTCCACAAAACGGTGAAAAAGGAACCTGAAGCGTATGAAGGTTGCTCTACATCAGTCGAAGGCACTTCGCGGAAAGCGATATGCACACGAGCTACTTCTCCACTTTGAAACGGTAACGCCTGGAGCTTATGTGAGAGGCTTGTCTCGAAACTGGCTTGCTTCCCTGTTTGTGACACTGCTTCACGGGGAACAGATTCCATTTGAAATAGCTCGCCCTGGCCGGTTCTAGGGATTAGGGAACCACAGCCCACACAATCACAATGCTGTGGTGCGGTGGTTTGTGTTGTGTTTTGACGTGTTTAAGTATGGTGTGATGTGGTTACGGTGCTTGGTTTGATGGTTGTATGGTGCAACTATCTGAAAGCTTCTGTCCCTCCCACGTCAACCCCACCAGGGCGCAGCTCTACGGTTCCGATTGCCTCGATATGTGTTGACGAAATGGAGATCGACGAACGTTGACGACGACCGCTCATTGGACGTCTATGCTTCTGCCCGCGGTCAGACGGAGAAGTCTTTCACAATCGGCCATTTTGATACACACGCAGAAAGGTGTGGCTAGAGCAAGCTGTGTGCCTGGAATGGTGGAAGATTTGTTTCATAAAGAACCAACACATGGTCGGCCTTTTTCCATTCGACAATTCTGACCTTTGCCTTTGATTTCTTCGACTGCTTGATGGGTTGTGGTCCCCACAAATGAGGGGAACATCCGTGCCAGCACATTCAATTTAGCAAATCCGAACAAAGCAAATCGAAATTGCGGAGAAAGCTACCTATAGCCACTCGTCCTCATACACGTCACCAGCGCCTGCAATCAGATCTGACGGCCTCCACGCTTTTGGCGGACTCCCATGCCAAATTCCAGGTTTGGTGGAAGGGCCCAAAACCTTCACCCTCCCAAACCAAGCCAGTTCGGAAGAAACAGCATCGACGGTGAGATTTGCTCGTTTTCGAGGGGAGCGATTCCGCCACGTGTCGGCGTCGTAACAAGCTTGCTCTCATGCATCCCGTGTATGACTCTCGCACAGACTGTCCATGGCTTCCATGCTGCAAATTGAGCGAAATTATGCAATTCATACTCGCAATTCCGCGCCGCATTTCCCCAGCCATGGCGTCTCTCACAAACCTCCAGATCCTCGCGCCATTCCGCTCAACCTCCTTAGTAGCGAGGACGCCTTCAAAATCCGTAGAAGCAAGACCTGACTGCTCCGTTTTTTTACACTTACCGCGTGCTTTTCCGACACTAGTACCATCATTCTCTGAAGTCTCAGTACAATGGCGTCTCGGCAGACTCGCAGATCGGGACCGGAGGCTCAGGAGGCGGTCGAGCCTTACATGAAAAAAGCGGACCTGAAACAGGTGAGTGCCGCCACGTCGATAGACTTGCCCTGCGTTTCATTCCCTGGGGCCCAGCAACTAACAATCATTCTCTCTTGTTTCTGTATTGCAGAAGCACGCCGATCCCACGGAGGTCGAGCACGAGCAGGCTCTGGCGCAGAAAGGGCAGGAGGTCACCGTAGCGCAAGGGAAGGAGGAACTCCCGGCGTCGTAAGTGCCTCTCATTCCGGCGTCGTAAGTGCCTCTCTCATTCCCGCATCGTAAGCGCGTCCCCAGATCACCTGTATCACTTTCCATCGCCAGCCAGTACAGCTCGCATCCACGCGCTCATCAATTCTAAAGTTCAGGCACATTCAATTATTCCAGATGCCTTTGTTTCTTCCGAAATCCGAAATCTGAAATCCGAAATCTGAAATCTGAAATCTAGGCAGGAAGACGCTCTGAAACGCGGCGAGGAGGCTCTCTCAAGCACCAAGAGTTCCGGCGGCGAAGCCGGCGGTCTTCTCGGGCCGCTCAAGAACCTCGCGTCGCGATTCCTGGGCCACGCGGCTCAAGAAACCGAGCAGACCTTTCAGACTGGGATGGACGTCCCGATCAACACGCAGGATCAGCCCGCCGCTGACGTGTCAGGTGATAAGCAGGCGCGTCTAGCTTCAAGTGTCAGCGAGGCTGCCACAAAGCGAGGTTCGGAGAGTGGCTCGGGACGAGGGGAGGCTGCTGGGGAGTCGGCTGCCGGGGAGTCGGCTGCCGGGGAGTCGGCTGCTGGGGAGTCCGCTGCTGGGGAGTCCCAGCAGCAGGAGATGGCGCAACGTGCAGAGCGCAGTGCAGGGATGGCGAAGGAGAGCGCTAAGGAGGAGGCGGGTAAGGCGACTTACGAGGCGAGCGGATGGGACGCAGCGAAACGCGGCGTTCAAGAGACTGGAGAGGCGGTGAAGCAGTCGGCGAAAGAAACGTCGGAATCGGTGAAGCAATCGGCGCGTGGATCGACTGAGGTCGCGGGGAGGAAGGCGAGCGACATTGGCGACGCGGGGCGCGAGCGGGTTGCGGGCGAAGTGGCGGAGGCCAAGGAAGGCGCAGCGGAGGCGGAGAGGAGAGCGGCGGAACGCACGCGTGCCGTGGGGGAGACCACGGGGAAGGCGTACGAGGGGGGTATGGCGGAGATGGAGGAGGCGAAGGGGAGGGCCGGAGCGGCGAGGGAGGAGGCGGGGAGGCAGGCGGAAGAGGCGCGGAAAGCGGCGGGCAAGCAGGCGGAGGACAGCGCGCAGGGAGTGAAACAAATCGCGCAGGAGGCGCAGGTGGAGGCGGTGGCGGCGGGGGAGAAGGCGCAAGGGTCGCTGGAGACGATGGCGGAGCGTGCGCGGCAGGTGATGGAGCGCACGCTGGAGGGCATCCCGTTTCTCTCACGTTATTTCTAGACCTCTCAAGCAATTATCATTTTCACGTTGTTTGAGTTGTCTTAAATCGAATCTACTTTTGCGTGGCAGGTTATGGAGCGCACTCTGGAGGGCATCCAGGAAAGCCTCGAGGTGGGCAGGGAGCGCACCGCGCAGGCCGCCGAGACGGCGAGGGAGGCCGGGCACGAGGCTTACGAGAAGGGGAAGGTGTTGGCGACTGAAACGAAAGACGCATCTGTTGTAAGCCTTGGTTGAACTCTTGGTCTGGCGTTCGGCATGCGCTAGATCAGCACACTGGAGGGAGGGTTTGTCTCATCGCACGGGCCGTGTGTGGCTCACACTCTCCTAGTTCGCGCGTCGGTTTTCGTCGGGCTAAATGTAGTGCCTCGAGCTGTCGTTTTTGTTGTTCCGCATGTCCTTTCAACCCCCGTCATTATACATGTCGCGATTAAGGCCATCAGTATCTCGTGTTCGCGTACCTGCAGGAGAATCTCGAGGCGGCAGCGGCTGTGACGGCAAGGGGACTTGGGAAGGCGGCCGGCACCGTGGAAGGAGCAGCAGAGGCGGTTGGCGAGAGTACCAGAAAGGGGTACGCGCGCGCCTGTCTAGGGTTTCACCCTTCGCTATAAGAATGGATTCCATGACTCTCGGATCTGTCAGCGTAGCGCGCACGCAGGGTTCTTTGGATGGTTTCCGAACAGGTTTTTGATGTCTCTCGCTCGATCCCATCTCTAGTGCCGGCGTTTTTCATAGTATTCTGCACGTCCGCGCTTTCCATTGTGTTCTTACCTTCTGGCCCTGCATTCCTTTCCGCTCCCTATCCCTTACTTAGAGTGGAGGCGGCATCTGAGCGCACGGCGGAAGGCCTTGAGTCCGCGGAGGAGGGCGCAAAGGACGCGTACAAGCGCACAACAGAAAACATCTCCGCGTCTGCCGCTGGCACACGCGACCGCACGGCAGAAGGCTTGGAATCCGCGGAGGAGGGGGCAAAGGACGCGTACGCGCGCACCGCGGAGAACATCTCTGCGTCTGCCACTGGTGCGCGCGACACTGGCGCAGCCGCGACGGGGACCTTCGCGGGGACGCTGGGGCAGATGTTCCACTCTTTCGCGGAGACCCTGGGGGTTGCGGGGAAGCAGAGCGCGGCGGACGTACCATCGGCGCAGCATCCGCCCGCCGCTGACATGGAAACGCACCGCCCGCAATGCGACCTGGAAGGCGGCGGGCGTTCCGCCACCCATGAGCCTGACCGCACGCCTGCCAGCCTCTCCGCGCGCACAAGGGCGGAAGGGGAAGAGCAGGCAGCGGGTGATGCTGGTGGTGGCGGTGCTGCTGCTGGCACGGTGGCCACGGAGACAGTAGCCGGCAGGTCGGCAGTCAAGTCCCCAGACTCGGACGAGAGGGGCGTGTTTGGGGGGGGTGGCATCCCCGCTGCGAAGAGCGTCCCCTGGGACCAGGTGGAGGTGGGGGGAGGAGCAGGGGAGGAGGGGGGGGTTGACAGGAGGCAGCAGGTGGAGATGCTTAAAGGGGGGGCGAGGGAGCCCCTCTGTAGAATCACAAAAGCGGTTATGGATAAGTCTGGGATAGAGACGGTGGAGCCTAAGAATCGCATTGCCAAGGAGAACACAATGGCGCCGAAAATCGCTGGGCACAGGGAGGAGCTGGGGATTCGTGGGGCGGCAGGCGAGGAGGGGAAAGGAGAGGAAGGCACGGGAGGTGGAGGAGGGGGAGGAGAAGGAGGGGGAGGGGGAGGAGGGGAGGAGGAGGAGGGGGAGGAGGAGGAGGGGGAGGAGGAGGAGGGGGAGGAGTGGGAGAAGGGGTAGGGGAAGAGGGAAGGCAACTTGTGCAGCATTTTCCGGGGATACAGCTGCCAGGGAGTGTGAGGGAGTTGGTGGACAAGGCCCATATGGGGGATCTGGTGGAACAAGCCAAGGTGCGCCGGCACAGCGTGAAGCACGCGGGAGTGCTGGAGTCAGTGGCGACCGCTGCTGAGTATGTTAAGGACGCCATGGTGGGGAAGAGGGATGTTTCAGGAGGGGGGGACCAGGCGAGTGCAAAGATGGCTGATCCTGAGCTGGGGAGGGCGGTGAAGGAAGTCCAGGAGAAGGAAGCAACACGGAAGGAGCAGTGAGGAGCGGTGAATAGCGGTAAGGATGGCAAGTTCTGTGGCTGGGGAAGCTGGTGAAGGAATTCCAGTAGACGGAAGCAACACGGAAGGAGCAGTGAGGAGCGGTGCAGAGTGGTTAGGTTGGCTAGTACTGTGAGTGGGTGCGTTGGTGGGGGGGTGCCAGGCACAGCATGCAGTACGCTAGGGGTGTTGGGAGCCAGTGGTGACCGCGGCTCGAGTATGTGGAAGATTTAGGGTGGGGAAGGGAAGAGTGACCTTTCGGGTGGAGGGATGAGTAGAGTGCCAAATGGGCGTCGCTGAAGAGAAGCCTTTGATTGAAGGAGCACGCAAGGGACATGCTTGGTTAGGCTTTCTGGGGTAACTCTGCTGAGGAATGCTGCTGGAATCACCCTATTTTCTTTCATGTTCTTTTTGTATATAATGTACATACATGCTGACGTGGTTGAATAGTTGGGAAAGCAGTCAGTTGTATCTAGAACAACATGCCACCTTGAGAAAGCATGCTAGAAACATGTCAGGTGGAGTGGAGCACGCTATTGTATGCCTTACCTTTCTCCCAACACACCTTCCACATCCCCTCTCCCAGCACTCTCTTCACTACCTTCATTCTTGGTGTGACATTCACCTGCCCCTTCAGCGAGTGTGGGTACCACAGTACCCCGTACGCACCCTACCCCTTTAGGAGGGCTGAGAGTCAACAGCGCAGAGGGCTGGGAAAAGCTGCCTGGAATTCAGTCAGCCAAACCCTCCAAAAACTGCACACTCCTGGGTTCCAAAGCACGGACCCAGCTGCCATCGCCTGCGCTTCTAGACTGGCCAATAGGTCAAGGCGCACAAGGTGCTTGTAAATGCTGCCTGGAATCAGTCAACCACACCCTCCTGCGAGCCTAGCCTGCACACTCCTGGACACCTTAAAACCCGAACCCAGCTGCCATCACCTGGGCTTCTATAAATGTCACCCCAGCTGCCAAGCCTTCAGCCACGCTGCTGCTGCTTGCTGTAGCATCAAGCACGCTGCTGCTTCTTGCTACGTGGTAATTGCCTACCAAACGTTTTGCTGCTGCTGCTTGCTGTAGCATCAGGCGCGTTGCTGGCTTTATCGAGACTGCTATAACAGGATCTCTGCCAGCTGTCCATCCAGTACCGTCGCTGCTTGAAACACTGCCGGTGTCGAAATCAGCACTGCTTAAAGCTGGCACCCGAGTGTTGCTGCGCTGCAGGAATGGCTGCAGGGATTGGTTGGCAGGGGGGAGTGGCATCTCACAGCACTCAAGAGGGTATGCTGATGCTCTTCTGGTAGGTGCCTCAACGTGTTGCTGCGTTCAAGAGGTTACTCTTGGTGCCCTTCTGGTGGATGGTACAATGTGCTGCTGCGTTCTAGGATGGGGAAAGGCCGCTGCTTAACTGCCTGCTGAAGCTGCTGGCGCTGGTGCTGCCGTTGGTTATGTGCCTTTCTACGCAGTTGACTGAGAGTGCTGCTGCGTCGCAGAGAACGTTTCTGGACCTCCTTACCAGGGTTGCTTACTGCGTTACTGTGTTCAAGAGTAGACCCTTGAAGCTCTCAAGCATGGTGGCTCCCGAAAGTGCTGCTGGACTCCAGGGAGGGCTCGTCTCTCACTCGCTGCTGCCACTTCCGGGGTTTTCCGAAACGCCGGCTGAGAGTGCTGCTTCGTTGGAGTGAATACCCTTGATGCTGCTTTGGCAGGTGGCTCAGGCTGCTGCTGCGTTCAAGTGAATACACTTGATGTTTCTCCGGTAGATGGCTCAGTGTGGTGCTGCGTTCAAGTGAACACACTTGATGCTCTTGTGGCAAACGGCTGAGGGTATTGTGTTGATCCAAGGAGTTCTCACGACTGACCTTCTGTCGTTCCTTCCGACCCCTTCCCAGCAGCCTATCAAGGGTGGCGCTGCGCTCAAGTGAATATACTTGAGGCTGCTCTGGCAGATGGCTCAGTGTGCTGCTGCGTTCAAGCGAGCACGCTTGATGCTCTCGTGGCAAATGGTCGAGACTGTTGTGTTGCTGTCCCTTCTGACCCCTTCCCAGCAGCCTTGTAAGCGTGCTGCTGCGTTCAAGTGAGCTCACTTGGTGCTGCTCTGGCAAATGAGTGAGAGTGCTGCTATTTTCCAACTCACGACCCACTCTTTGCCGTTCCTTCAGGCCCCGTCCTACCAGTCTACCAAGAGTGCTGCTGCGTTCAAGAGCGAACGCTTGGTGCTGCTCTGGTAGATGACTGAGGGTTCTGCTGCGCTCCAACGAGCATTCACAGCTCACCCTCTGCCGTTCCTTCCGGCCCCTCCCTAGCAGCCTGTCTAGAGTGCTGCTGCGTTCAAACGAGCACGCTTGGTGCTGCTCTGGCAGATGGCTCACTGTGCTGCTGCGTTCAAGTGAGCGCACTTGGTCCTCTTGTGGCAAATGGCCGGGAGTCGTGCTGCGTTCCAATGAGCATTCACGATTCACTTTCTGCCGTTCCTTCAGCCTCCTTCCTGGCACCCAATCAAGAGTGCCGCACCGCTGCAAAACACTATCTTTGGGCCCCTCAGCTTGCCCAGTCGGCGTTTCTGGACACTCCAGTGTATGAGTCCGTTCAAGAGTACACACTTGATGCTGTTCTGGCAGGTGGCTCAGTGTGCGGCTGCGTTCAAGAGAAGCCTCGCCACTCACTGCCTGTTGCTGCCTCTGGCTCTTACCGAACAGTCCACCAAGAGTGCTGCTTCGCTGCAATGAACGCGCCTCCGCTTCCCTTTCCTCCCCCTTGGAAGCAGCAAGGGAACTTTCCTCCCCCCGGCAAGCCGCAAGGGCATGTGGATGTGGGGACACGTGCTTCTCATGTGAAATTTGCTGCTTCCCTTCCCCTTCACCCACGCTGCTTCTCCTCACCCCCAGCAGCATGCTCCATAGATTCGTTCCGGCCGTCCGCCCTCCCTCCACCCGCCAGTCCAGAGCACTACTGCGTGGGAGACCACGTGCGTTGCACAAATGTCCAATCACGCTCCCTGGTGCCGTTCTCTGAGCTGTGCTCTGAGCTGTGCTCTGAGCTGTGCTGCTTCCCAGCGCCACCAGTCCTTCCTCCCTCCCCACTGCATCCCCCTCCTCTTGACTCTTCCCTATTCCAACCTTCCCCTGCCATGCCCCTTCAGCGACGCGCCTTTGAAAGCTCGTGTCACGCGGCCTCCCACGCGCCATCAGAAACCGCGGGCAGTACAGAATCATCCACGTGCAGTGCGCGTCAGAAATCACCGCCTCCGCCTTCCTGGAAGCTCCCTGCCAGCCGTGCGCTTTGGCTCGACCATAACATGCGTCGTCCGCCGGCGCACTCCGATAAGACGTCAGCAGCTGTCTTGGAGAGGGGCTCGTGAATCGTGCAGCCTCGGCCCACCTGCAGACAGCAGGGAGCAGCTTCCGAGAAACTTCCTCGATACTTCTGCCATTGACGACAAGCGGGTCGTCCGCAGCAATCACCACCACCTTCCAGGAAATTTCCAAGCCGTCGTTTTCACAAGCATTCCTCTCGCTTATCTCGCTCTCCTGCTCTCCTCCTCCTGCCGCCCCTCCTCCCCCGCCCCGCAGCCTGACTGGCAGCGCCAGGAGCGGCACCACCAAGTAAACATCTCCCGGTGCTCTCCTCCCCGCCCCCACCTCTACCGCTTCTAGTGGCGCATTGCCAAATGTCTCCGGGAATGGCTTGTCTGCATCCATGCGCCCGCCGCCCCTGCCGCCGGCAGCAATGCGTGCCTCACCTCTCCTCCTCCCAACCCCGACCTCGACCCCGTCCAACGGCCACGAGGCGCTCTGTGGAGGGTCCGCGAGGCCGAGGACGCACGTCTGCGGGATGATCCCGAGGTTCCACGGACACGTGTCCAGCTTCGCTCCCACGCTCTTTCCCGCTGACTCGTTTCGGCGCAATCCGCCGCCGTCCATTCGCGGCAGGAGCCCGGCGCTCTCGGAGCCCGAGACGGCGGGACGCTCCAGCGATTCACGTAGCGGCCGCGTCACCTTCGCTTGAAACGATTCGGAAGTCGTTTGTGCCAGGTTGCGTCGACGTGGTAAGCTGCCTCCAGGTGTCGGCGCCGCCGGCGTACTAATGGCAGCTGGGCTTGTAGTTTGCAGCGACTTTGCGCTGTGTGCGCTCGATCTGTCGCGTGCGGACGTGCACACGTGTGCGCGCGATCCGGAAGGTGCGGACGTACAGACGAACGCGAATGCGCTTGATGTTGACGGCAGGAGAAACCCGCTGGCGCCGCTTCCAGCACGGGATGCAGTAGAAATGTGCGTTTCGGTCAACGAGCGTGGTAGCGAAGCTGGCTGTAACGAGGATAAAGTGGATGATGGCGGGTTGCCTACGGCAGCAGGCGGGTTGCTGATGCTTGTGCCTGTTAAAGAGGCGGATCGTAGGAGAGAAGCCCGAGCCGCGGGAATGGAGGCGATGGGAACATCGTGCCAGATCGACGCCACGTAGCCGGATCCGCCGATCAACGGCAGGAGGTTAGTGGCCGCACCAGCGGCAGGTGCGGGTGGCGGTGCGCCGGAATGAGAGTTCGAAAAACGACTGGGAAAGTCGGTTGTTGCTGCCGGTAGTGCGGCAGAAAAGCTCGACGGACTGGGGTGTTCCGTATCCCTGCTGTAGCCTTTAACGATGGTGCCGCCAGTGGTGCCGCCAGTGGTTCCGCCAGTGGTGCTGCTTCGGGAGCTTCTGACGCCTAGGGCGGCGCAGATGGTGCTTACTAGCGCCATTCGCGGGCGTTGGAATCAACGGCTAGAATTAGCTTTCCAGCCTGAACAAATGCCTGCTTCTTTCTGCGACCGTCGTGCCGAGGAATCGGTATGATCCTCCGTGACGCAGTTCGATTTTAGTAGATGACTTCTCAGCATGAGTCACACAACCCATTGCGAGGGGCGAGAAGTAACTCAGGCCGCCCGCCAACGCAAGATGGACTTTGCCTCATCTCGCGAAGCTCACATGTACTAAATAGCGTCATGTATCAAGTGTGGATGGCGGCAACGGGGAAGGGTCGATGCCATATCGCGGAGAAGCTAGCTTTTAGCAGGCGAGAGTTACAGCAGCAGCAGCATCACTGGCGTAGGAACTACCGTATCGCAGATGGGCAGAGCGAAGGGTTACTTGGGTGGCGAGAAGCGACAGTGCGAGACAAGCGCATTTGTTTGAGCCGAGATGTCAGCTTGAAAATGGCTCCGTCCAGCTCTCCGTCAACGAAAGCTCGTTTCGTTCGCGTGGTTCTGGAAGGTGGAACATTGCGGGGGCAAATTTCGGGCGAAATCCTGACCAGATTTTTCGTTGGACGGAAGCGCGCGATGGGACTGATTACATCTCAGGGAAATTTCACCAGGCAATTCCGTCGAACCGCGGAATCCATCTTCCACTGACAACAACCAGCCCCAGCATATGGCTTCGCGGCTTGGTCGGTGAAAAAAGTTGATCGTCCGTCCAATCAACGCACGGTATCAGGGAGAGGTCGAGGACCCGTTGTATGTCGAATTCAGTATCTGGTATTAGATAGATGTGTACAGCTATCACATTGTAAGTGACATAGTATCAAGTAGTCAAACGTCTTATATAAGACCCTTCTACTTCTACATCATCTAAGCACCTATGCCTGGATGGTTCCGCATCACCATCCCAAGCTGTGCTTCCCACCCTTTCCTCCATCAGCTGCCGCTTCGTCTCCCCTTCCGTAACCACCTCCTCCTGCTGCACTTTCCCAGACCCTAGAGGCAGGAGCCGCACCAGAGGAGATGACCGTTGATCGTACGGGTTGGGATTGGGAGGCAGCGGCTCATCTGTATATACAGGAATCTCTATTCCATGCGAGTCATCCCCCCTCCATTCTCTCTCGAACCCACTCTCACCCCGGAGGGACTTGTGGCTGCTTCGCAAATCATTCCACTCCAACAAACCTCCTTGCATCCCTGCATCTGTAGCAGCTACAGCCGTAGCGACAGGCACATCCGAGTGTGCACGGCCCCAACGACCCCACTGTACCTCTGTAACCAACACTCCTTTCTGGCCGTTTTGATACTGGGATGCTGCTAGGGGGCTGCTAGGTACAGAGAATGTGGCGTTCCTGCGAGTCTGCTGATAAGGTGGACGGCCAGGGCTGGGCGGCACGGCGACATGGCTGGTAGGGGGTAGCAGTGAGATGTTTCCACTAGAGGAGGACTTGATCAAAAAGCGGCCAGGGCGGGGGGTTGAGAAGGCACCCCCACCAACTGAGGGTTTGAGCATGGGGTGGAATGAGAGGGAGGAGTGAGATGAGTGAGATGAGTGGGATGAGTGGGATGAGTGGGAGGAGCGGGGCATAGCGCGAGGCCGAGGACTGGGAGAGGGAAGGGAGGAGCCCTTAGAGGGCGAGGGAAGGGAGGAGCGTCTGCGGGGAGAGGGAATGCTGCTGCTGGGCAATGCGCTGGTGGGGTGAGTGAGGACAGGGGAGCGCGTTTCAGAGGCAGGGCATGCTGGGCCGGCTGGGTGTGCTGCAGCGGTTGCTAGGCGCCAGGGGGCGTCCTTAGCAGCAATGACGGTGAAGCTCTTAGCGGACGGCAAGCTGACCGACGGTCGGATCTTCTTCCCTACGATGCTGTGCGGCTGGGCCTGCTTGCTCGTGCTCTTGCTGCTGCTGCTGTTCTTGCTGCCACCCTTGCTGCTGCTCTTAGCTTTTGCCTTGCTGTCACTCTTGCTGCTGCCCTTGCTGCTGCTCGTGCTGCCCCCTTTGCTGCTGTCCTTGCCATCAATTCCATGTTCCTTCTGCTGCTGACATGAGCAGGTACCAGAACCAGAGGCATCACCAGAAGGGCCATTACCAGACGGGACATTACAGGGGTCCAACAAGTTAGCAGCAGCGGCAGCAACAGCCCGAGCAACGGACTCCCTGGGAGCGACCAGAGCAGCAGCAGCAGCAGCATCAGCAGCAGCCGAGGCAGCAGCGGATGCAGCAGCAGCCGCTGCTGCAGCCTCCTGCGGCCTCGCGTAACTCACTGCCGCTGCTGCAGCAGCAGCGGCGGCGGCAGCAGCAGCAGTGGCAGCTGAAACAGCAGCAGCCACTGCGGAGAGTGCTGCAGAGTACGCGTCAGCAGGGTGCACATGGGCTTCCTTCAACGCATCCATCAGGAGTTCCCTGGCTGTGACTCTCCTGTCCTCCTTACAAGCCTCTTCGGTAACTGCATCTGTGTCTGAGACCTCGGCATTTCCGGGCAGAAAAGGTATCGGTGGATTGACCTTGCCAGGTCCGTTGCGTGACCCCGAGCCTGCCATCGTCCCTACCTCACTCAGACATTTAAAACTTGGTTCGGCACGAAGCTTGGCGTGAGGCTCGGCATGAGGCTCGGCACAGGGTTGTGGCCTGGTCCGTTCCTGCACTGGCAGGTCACGGCTGGACCCCCACCCATCCCGAGACAAGCACCCCCTGACTCCAGAAAACTCCCGAGAAGATCCCTTCCTCACTCCCTCTGAGCCTTCCATACTGTCTGCTTCCTTCCTTCCTCCCCCTGTCCGTGCCTCAGAGCTGTCTGAATGGCTGGGAATTTGCCGCTCTCCTGCTCCTCCTTCTCCTGCTGCAGTTCCCTCCGCTCCTCCTCCTCCTCCTCCACCTGCTGCTGCTGGTGCTGCTGGTGCTGCTGCTGCTGCTGCTGTCGCTGATCCCCACATGCCGCCATTGGCTGTGCTGCGGAAACCCCTAGGAGTCATCAAGGCGCCCCTCCACCAGGGGTCCCCTGCTGCCTTTCTGCGCGGCGACTCAACGGCGCACTGGGGCGTGCGAGGCCATTTAGTAGACGCCTCAACGGCACTCTGGGGCGTGAGAGGCCACTTGATGCTAGAGTCATCCCTGCTTCTGTTTCTGCTGCTGCTGCTGCTGCTGCTGCTGCTGTTCTTCCCTGTCTGAGCCTCGCCTTGCGTGCTGGTCTCCCGGCAGCTGCTCAGCCCGAGGTCAGCGCTTTTGGAGAATCTTGACGGAATGATGATGCTGTAACGGTAGCTCTTCTTGCCGGCGCCGCCTGTGACGCTGGTGCCGCTCACTTTGGTGCTGCTGCTGGTGCTGCTGCTGCTGCTGGTGGCCGTAGTGTCGCTCGAAGTGACATTTGGCGTGGGATCTGTGGGTGCTGAAAATATGGGCAACGGACTGCTGCTGCTGCTGCTGCTGCCACCATTTCCACCACCCTCATTCCCCTCCTCCTCTTCCTCCTCCCTCTCTGCCAGTTCCTCCTCTTCCTCCTCCTCACGGTCCTCTTCCTTCTCCTCCTCCCCATCTATATACTTGTGCCCTACTCCTGCTTTCTTTCCATGCACAAGCCTTTCGTTCTCCTCCACTCCCTCCTCCTTTTCCACTCCCTCCTTCTCTTCCACTCCCTCCTTCTCTTCCACTCCCTCCTCCTCTTCCACTTCCTCCCCCTCGTCTGGCTTTCCGGCTGGCACCTGAAGTTTCAAGCGGGGAAGCAAGCGCACGAAGGTTCGGATCCTCCCGCTCCCCTCGATCCACAACGCCCTCCCAGTTCCCCTATGCGCGTCCATGCCACCAATACTTCTGCTGCTGCTAATGTTCTTCGTGTCAACCCTGCAGCTATTTTCTTTAAATGTATTATCGCTGCTGTGTGGTGGTTCCAGCAATGAGCTACTCTTTATAATGCCACTGCTCTTGGCATTTTTCGTCCTGTCTCCCTTGCTTTTCTCGCAAAGATTCCTTTCTCCCGAGTTTCCATTTTTTGAGAACTTACTGTTCGCATAGCCAGAATTTACTTCACTGTAGTTGCCTCGGTTTATGGCTGTAGCGGTGTGCCTTCTCACCAGCCCAGGGCTGCACTCGCCCTCGGTATTGTCACCAACCGCATCACTGGGACTCTCACAGCCGCTGCGTAAGGCAGGATTTCCTGCGTTATTGTCACACCGACCACCCACCCCACCACCGTTCCCGCTACTCCCGCTCCTCCCCTCGCCGCCGTTTCTCTTCTGCTCCCCCCCCCACCTACCGCTGCTGTTACCGCCGCTACGGCCGCTACCGCTGCCGTTTATTTTAGCACTGCGATTTTGTACACTGTAAGACCCGATAGTAGCGCTTCGCTGCAACTCCAAAAACATGGGGAGCGGCGCGTCCAAGATCTCGTTTAGCAGCGCCGCGGCGGCTGCTGATGTGGACGAATCGTCCTGCGACGTGCAAGTGGGGCCGAGGGAGATTCCGGCGGGGGAAACGGCGCGGGAGCTCGCGCGCCCGACGCTGGCGGAGCTCGCGGTCGCGGAAGTTCGCGAGCCCGGGTGCGGGGACGGAAAGGGGAAGAACGAGGAGCGCGGGGAGGGGCAGGGGGAAGGCTCGCCGGTACTGCTGCTCGGAGCGTCGCTCCAACCGTTACGCCAGCTGCTACTAGTGCTGCCGCTGGTGTTGCTATTGTTGCGCCAGCTGCTACTAATGCTGCCGCTGCTGCGGAAACTGCCGCTGCTGCTGCACGCGGTACTGCTGCTGCCGACGGCTCCGCTCCGTTCCGCACTCGCGGAAGCAGCGGGATTGGCATCCGCGCTACCGCCAGCAGCGGCGCCGGCAGAAGCATTCACGGCAGAAGCCCCGGCGGACGCACTCACGCGAGCCACAGCTGCTGCTGCAGCGGCCTCGAGCCGGCCTTTATTCGCGGCGGTTTCGCTGATTGGCGCAGCGGAAATCGCGGCGGAACAAACGGGCGGCGAGCGCGCCGCGCGAGACCTAGTATTACTAGCAGCGATGAGTAGCCACACCGAGTGACCGCTTTCCGCGTCGCCCTTTCGAGGCGCCTCAGAATCTTCCTCTTCTGTGTCGGAATAACTGCCGCCGAAGCCAGAGCCGATCCTACCACTTTTTAAACTAATCCTAGAGCTAAGTAGACCAGCCCTACGCTTGCTGCTGCTGCCTTTCACCCAGCTTGATCCGATATCAGCTGATTCGTTACTGTGCGTCGCGTTGCTGAAGCTGTCGAGGATCTTATCCCGCTCCTGCCACGCGCGCAGCGCGTGCGCGTGCACGTGGCCCCTCCGCTGCAGCGTCGGCCGGCGGAGCGCGCTTCCGAGGACCTTCCACGTGTAGTGCGCCTCGGTGATCACGGCGCGCGCCTTCCGAGCAGCTTCGTCCCACGAGCACGCCTCGTGGGGGGAGGAGAGAGCGCCTCGCGACGGGCTGGAAGGCGAAGGCGGCGAAACTGCTTGCGGGGAGAAGGGGTAGGGGGAAGGGGGAAGGGGGAAGGGGGAAGGGGAAAGGGGAACGGGGGGGCGGTAGGGGGGGAAAGGAGTGGTACGGGGAAGCGTGAGAAAGGGGATGGCGAAGGCGGAACCGGGGGGCGGGAGAATAAGAGCGTCGGAACAGCGAGCCTCGCTGAAATATCCCCTTTACATCATGTCTTTAATCCCATGACCAACCACTGGTTGACGGCCAACCTTACCCTCCCCGGACGATTCCGTTTGTCCACGAGGCGGTGACGCGAAGCCCGACGCGCGGACCCACCTCCGCACCATCGGTAGAAGCTTCCTCGAAACGACGTCCATCCGGCGCGCGGCGACCAGCGGGTCGTCGATCGCGATGACCACCAGCTTCCACGAAACTTCCGAGCGCGTCGCGGTGTGAAGGCGCACCGGCAACGCGAGTAACGGCAGCACCGGAAACGCTTCCCCCGGTCCGCGCTCCCGCGCACCGATCTCGACCGCCTCAATCGGCGCGTTGTCGAAAATCATGGGGAACGCCGCCGACTCGCCCGGCGAACCCGGGGCTGCTACTAACGGGGATGACGGTGAGACGCTGTCGTCCGTCGCGACAGCTGACGGCTGAGCGGCAACGGGGGAGAGGATGCACGTCTGAGGCACGATCCCGAGATTCCAGGGACGCGGCTTGGGGTCGTCGGGCCGCAGGGAGCCATCTAGGCCGAGCCGCTCGCGAGCCCTGACACTGGCGGGAAGAAGCCGCGAGCCGGGGGAAAGCGCCGCGTCGCAAGAGGTGGAATCTAGCGCTTCGCTGTTGCAACGGGCGATATGGCCAGCGTTGCTTCTTCGCTGTGCCCGGGCGCTCTGAGGGTGGTGGCGTCCGCCGTGACTAGCGGCGTGATTCGCGCTGTCGGATTTCGAGGAGGTGCACACGAAGGTGACCGCGGAGAGCGACACGTAATCGTCGCTCGTACGGACGAGAGCCCCATCCTGGTCTCTACTACAGTTGCTCCCGCCAAAATCGTCGCTCCTGGTTTGTACAACCGGTGTTGGGAACAAGAGCTCGTTAGGAGCTGCTAATGACGGGGACGAGCGGGAGCCGGGGGAAGAGGATAGTTGCGCCATTTGCGGCGGCGCGAGCAGCACATCGTGCCAGATGGATGCCACGTGTCCTGCCTGAATGAGTGGGAGGAGATTGCCAGCAGACAGCTTGGGAAAAGGAGGAAAGCCCATTCTGACGATTGCTGCCGCCGTTCCCGATCCGAAGCTTCTACCACTGAACACGAGATGAAAAGTTGTACAGGTAAAAAAAGTGGGGAAGTCTGAGGTAGAAGTCCCTACTACATAGTGGGTGAGGGAGCGAAGAGGGAGCGAGCGAGTAGAGGAGAGGGTGCATAGTGGGTGCCACTCACCATGGGTATCACTGGCATTGGGAGTGGCAGTGGGAGTCCAGGAGAGATCGATGTTCGGCATGAGGGTAATTGCCTACTTCCTTCTCCCTTCTGCACCTCGGTGCGCAACTCACCACAAAGCATATGCGCCAAGCCGAGAGACCTCCATTGCTTTCTACAACCTGACGTCCAGTGAAATGCCTACTCGTTAGATGCCCCGTGTCTATTTACTGGTCCGAACGCACGGGCATCGACCCAGACGACACAGGCCCAAAGTTCTGCAACAGTTACCGAATCTGATACGGAGACCTCCAAACGTGCAGACGGGACGTTCTCAAACCTTACACTGTTGCCATACGAACGCAAAACAAACAACAATGGTCATCCTCTTTAGACTGGAAAATGCCAACGAGGTAACCAGAATTCCCCATATTAGCCCAATTCGTCCGTGAAAGTTGTGTGCTTGACTTTGGAGCAATCGCTTAAAAACAAAATGAGCCTGAAAAGGAATTCACGTGTACTGACGTACAGTATCGCCAGTGAACCAGACACAGTCCTCTGCGATTCAGAAATCCGAATGAAAACCGCTGTTAAGATTGCTTCCATTCTTGCTGTCTGGCTGGAGGTACAGTCATGCATGAGGGAGCAAGAGTACTGTAACGCCCGTTCTATCCTTGTTTCTCTGCGAAGCCTGTCATTTGAGAGAGACGAAGCCTGTTATTGGTGGGAAGCGACGAGTTACCATCAATAGCGTTCGCCTAGCGAGGAATCACTTGCGCCTCTTCCCCACCGGAACCGCGTGCTTGTGTGTCTGTGGGGCATGGAATGGAAATGCTTCTCTCGCGACTGTGCCGCGGTTTACAGCAGCACAGTGGTTCTTGTTGGCGCGTTGCGCTCGGCAAATCAGCGGCAGAGGGTTCACTTCACTTCACTCCCCATGGCCACGGGTCGCTTGAATCTTGATTTCATCGCGCACGCAAGCGGCCACTTGCATTGAAAAAGCTTTCTACTTGTAGTGCAATTGGCATCATTCTCATTCCACTCACATCAATTACAAGAGTTCCCAATATATTCATACATCAACATAAAATTTCTACACTAGAAAGGATATGTCTATGCTGAGGATGATCCACCTAAGCGGTGCATGTTGTCGAGGGTAGAAGAAGCGGGTTGGGTGGGCGGGAATTGAACTTGAGCTGGGGAAAATGAAAAACGTGGGTGGAGGAAGAATGACCTCCAACCCCATTACATAGTTGGGGAAGGGCGAATAGCTCGCTTTGACGATGCCGAAGATTGCATTACAAGCAGCATCGCATTCACAATATGCAATTTTGAAAGTATAAATGTAAACACGTTAAAATTTTACATATCATTGCAGGCGAAACTTGGCTTGCCTCTGGAATGGATGAATGGTCTCTATGTCAACTTATACATATGCTGTATGTAGAAGTTATAGGCTAGCCTATGTGTGTGCTTCTAGTGAGTACAACAGGTACATGTTCTAGGTTTCTCACACTAGTCCATTCATTCTCTCTTTTTAACATGGTATCATGAGTAGGTTCGGTTCCTCTCGCCCGCCCACGCTTCCGCCCCAGGCCCTAGCCGCCCTCGTGACCCGTCCCTAGCTGGCCCCCCTCCCCCCTAGCCGTCCCGTCCGCCCCTAGCCGGCCCCCTGGCCGTCGCGCCCGCCCCTAGCTGGCCCTCTGGCCGTCGCGTCCGCCCCTAGCCGGCCCCCTGGCCGTCACGTCCGCCCCTAGCCGGCCCCCCAGGCCCTCGCGTCCGCCCCTAGCCGCCCCCCTGGCCCTCGCGTCCGCCCCTAGCCGGCCCCCTGGCCGTCGCGCCCGCACCTAGCTGGCCCCCTGGTCGTCGCGTCCGCCCCTAGCCAGCCCCCTGGCCGTCGCGTCTGCCCCTAGCCGGCCCCCCTGGCCGTCGCGCCCGCCCCTAGCTGGCCCCCTGGCCGTCGCGTCCGCCCCTAGCCGACCCCCTGGCCGTCGCGTCCGCCCATAGCTGGCCCCCTAGCCGTCGCGCCCGCCCTTAGCTGGCCCCCTGGCCATCGCGTCCGCCCCTTGTCGGCCCCCTGGCCGTCGCGTCCGCCCCTAGCCGGCCCTCTAGCCGTTCGCGCCCGCTCCTAGCCGGCCCCCTGGCCGTCGCGCCCGCTCCTAGCCGGCCCCCTGGCCGTTCGCGCCCGCTCCTAGCCGTCTCCTCCTAGCGCCCGCCCGACCCCACCTCTGCTGAGTGTGAGACTTTCTCTGCTGCTGCACTTGCCTGTGCCATGTGGGACTCTCGCGATGCAGTTGCTCAGGTCGCTATCATTCACGCCCTCCCTATGTCTGGGCGTTCGCGTTTTGCTACAGTTGATACAGCCAAGGCTTACTTAGAAGCTGTTGTTGCTCGCTATTCCACGCCTGCCTCCGCTACTGCAGGCCGCCTGCTCTTCCCTATGCTTTTCCCAGACCTTGCTTTCTTCTCTATTGTTGCTGACCTTGCCACTCACCTGCGCGCCCTAGAATCTCGCTACCGCACTGCTAGCACTGCTGCCCAGCTCACTGCGCTCCCTCCCCCCTTCCGCATGACCCTCTTCTTTATCGCCATGCGCCTGCCTGACCGCCTTGCTAGTGCACGCGACCACATCCTTAGCCAGCACGCGGGTGATCTCACCCTACCTGCCTTTGTCACCGCCCTGACCGAGATCGAGACTCGCCAGTGCACTATCGCTCAGTCGAGCGGTGCGCCGGCAGTCTCTATCTTTCACGACTGTGCCCCCTCCCAATGCACGTTTACTGACGTTTCGGCTGCGGTCGTCACTGCGACCCCTCTGACCGAGACTGCAGCTGCGGTACACCCACAGCAGCACTCACGCGGCGCCGGTCGTGGCCGCTAGGGAGGGCGTGGTGATGGAGCTGGTTGTAGTAGTAGTGGTGGTACCGGGGACAGTGGTTCTACTGAGGGGACTGCCTCAGCTAGTCAGGAGCAGCACCCTTCGCCCTAGCAGCAGGAGCAGCTGCAGCAGCCGTCGCAGCAGTCGCAGTCGCCGCAGCTGCCTGTCCCAGCCCCAGCCGTGGGCTCGCCTCACCCCATGTTGGTCCGGCACCTCCGTAGGTGGTGGCCGTGGTGGCGGCTCGCGCAGCTTGGCTTCTACCGGCAGCTCCGTTGGTGTGACCTTCCAGTACCAGCTTCAGACCGGGCCTCTCCGCGGCACTCTGTGCCGTCGCCCGCACCCGACCGCCCGCTGTTTCCGCCGCCTTGACGATCTCTTTTGTCGTCGCTTTGGCCCGGCCCCGGACCTCCCTGACTTGCACAGCCTGCTTCGCCAGGGCGTGCCGATCTTTGATTTAGATATGGATCAGATACTGTAGGTGCTACTTTGCATGCCTTGTATGCTGATGCTTCTAGTGTTGCTGGATCTTATTACCCTGTGTACTTTAGTTTAGGCGTAGCACCCTTGTGTAGCTTAGCCTCCCCTGTTGCGTCAGGCATAGGACTGCCTAGTTTGCCTAGCCTAGTTTCTGCACCGGCTCCGTTCCCGGCCTCCGCTACTGCCTCGCTGTCCTTCACTCTCGACTCCGGTGCTTCTACCTGTTTCTTCCGCGAGCGCTCCACGCTCACGCCGCTTGCTGCGCCTGCTGTTGTCGCTCTCGCTGACCCCTTCGTGGGTCCTGTCGTCGCTCGCAGCTCCACTTTCCTTCCCTGTCCAGCCGTTCCCTCGGGCTCTCTTACAGGCCTCCATGTTCCCTCATTCTCCAGGAACCTGGTTGGTGTCGGCCGTCTTCAGGACCTCGGCGTCACCACTACGTTCCCTAGGCACGAGCGGTTCGCTGTCTGTACCGAGCAGTCACAGGTTCCCCCCTTGCGACGTTCCCCCGGGACCCGGTGTCCGGTCTGTTTACCCTCGACACTGCTTCCCCCCCGGTTGGTGCGTCCTCCCAGGTCGCTGCAGCTTGCTCGTGTCGGTCCCTCACACCCCCGTCCCTTCTGTGGCACCACCGCTTGGGTCACCTTGCTCTCCCGCACCTGCGTCACATGTCTCAGCACGGTCTTGTCTTAGGCCTCCCTGAGTCGCTCCCCGCACTTCCACCCTCGACTGTGCCACCGTGCACGCCTTGCGTCGAGGGCCGGTTCCGCCGTGCCCCTCACTCCTCCTCGCTTCGCCCTTCTACTGCTCCCCTTCAGACCCTGCACCTGGACGTTTGGGGCCTAGCCCCCGTCCCCAGACCGCGCGGTGAGCGCTACTTTCTTGTGCTCGTCGACGACTACACGCGCTACACCACGGTGTTTCCCCTGGAGCGGAAGGCCGACGTGCCTGACGTTCTTCTCCCGTGGGTTGTGGCTGCGCGTCTTCACCGCGGTCTCCCCGTGTTGTGTCTCCACTCTGACCCTACACCTCCGTCCCACGTTTGGTCTCGCCGTCCCTCCCGTGCTCGTCCCGTCTCTCCTGTCCTGCGCTCCCACCCTATGTTGCTCCATTCCCACTCGTCTCGTCCTCCCCTCCTCTCGTCGCCTCCTCCCTCGTCGTTTGTTGTTGCACCTCCCCCGCTGTCTGACCACCTCTGTGCCGCTCGTCCCCTTGTCCCTCGGGTTCTTGCCTCTCTTGTTACAGGCCCGTCTGTTCCTGTCTCGCGCCTTGACGCGCTTGTCGCGGCTGTCGCTGACTTCGCCTCTACCCGCCGCCTTGACAACGCTACCGCTCTGGTCTCTGACCCTGCCCGTCCTCCGTCCGTCGGGCGTGCACCTGCCCTTGGCAGTGACGTTCTAGAGGACCGGCAGTACGAGCTTGCTTTCCTTTCCGAGGCCGCTCCCCATCTCTGCTCCATGCTCCTAGTCCCAAAGGGAGACCCAGACGCCTTCGACATCCCGACCCTTGGCACTTACGCTGAGGCCACCTCGTGACCTTGGGCCTCTCAGTGGATAGCTGTCATGGAGCAGGAGATGGCATCTTGGAGATCTACCAGCACTTACGTCGACGCAGTTCCCCCGCCTGGGGTGAACGTAGTCGATGGTCGGTGGCTCTTCAAGGTGAAGCGCCCCCCTGGAGAGCCGCCT